GGATGGATGGATGGATGGATGGATGAAAATTACAAAGTTAAATTTTCAATTCTGATTTTATTTGACAGAATTTTGATTTTGTTGGCTTTTAGTAGATTAGTCAGTTTCAGATCTGACACAAAAACCAGTGTTAAAATGATGTTTATTTTCATCCATACCACACAATATTTTAACAATTTTTTACTTTGCTGACCTTCAAGACATAACCAGATCTATAAACATGTTATTCTAATCAAACCTTCTTTTAACCTAGAACTAGGAATCATATCAGAAATAACAATTCAGATGAAGATTTGAATAAATCTACTAGATTTTTATGTGTTTTTTTGTGAAAGTTACTTCCTTTTTAACTCTATAAATGATTCACATAGTGGTTCCTGGTTAATATAATCCTCCCAGCATTATAATGCTCAACATAAAAGTCACCTACAGTATTCATTTAGTCAGCAGTTGTTTTTTTCCCTTTTGTATTTTATTGGTGTGTCCAGCAGCTGTTTGGTTTTAATGCCATTTTGTCTCTTCCTATTTGGGTTTGTGTTCACAGGGTCCAGCTGGGAAGGATGGACTTCCAGGTCATCCAGGTCAAAGAGGAGAGCCAGTGAGTAACATTAGGAAAAATATGCATTTATAAAATGCTTCTTAATGTACACATTAACCCAACAACACTTAAGGAGAGTCCCTTATAAGGACAAATCCTTAACCAAATCACTTTTTCTATCTACATAAGTCACACTTTAAACAATAACCCTGACAAGTGCTTTAATGAGCATTAATGAGCTAGTCTAAAAGGATGTCTGTCATATTACCAGCATTAAATATCCACCTTTTTTTCCCAGGGCTTTCAAGGAAAAACAGGACCTCCAGGACCTTCTGGTGTGGTTGGACCTCAAGTAGGTGCTTCTGATTGAATAATGACATTTAAAGTATCATCCATTGATGTGCTTCCAATTTTAATTCCATTTAATTTCTTTCAATGAAATTAGTTTAGTCATTTAGTCAGAATCAGTTGAATCTAACTCCTTTTAACTAATTTCATTCTCATCACCTACGCTGTTATTTAATTTTACTCGTTTAAACTGACTGCATTTCAGCTAGATTTAACACATTTTACAGTCAGTTTGCTCAAATTTTGCTTGTGTTGTTTTACTCTGAATTTAAATCTAAGACACTTCAGTCCATTTCTTTTCGCCACAGACCGGAGTCAATAAATATAATTTTAGTAATATTTATGTAAAAACTGCATGAACTAAATTTAAATCAAAAGTTTCTATATTAATGTTTTGGATCCGATTAAATTCGTTTTTTCCTTGTCTACCAGTGTAGCTCTTGGTTTTAATAGGAACTATTTTTTTAGCACCAGGAGAAGCCCAGCAGATTTACTTTCCCAAGTGGAGCATTATGGCTTTTTTTTTTTTTGGATGATGCTGCATGATGATTATATATATAAAAAAGTTAGTAGACATGTTTTTGGATTAATTAAAGTGCAATGGACACGCAGATGGAGATGAAAGGAAAATAGATAAAAAAAAAAGAGAGCAAGAGAGGTGGGACAAAAGGTTAAATGCAAAAAATGGAGATAGGTTTAGAGGAGAGAAAGAACGGTAAAGAAAATACTAGGTGACACCCTAGGAGGCTGCTTTCAGATCTGCAAAGAGAGTGAAAATGAAGAAGTATCACAGGCACAAAAAAAACCCTATGCATATACTTATAAGATCGCTGTAAGTACACAGTGTTGTTTAATACAAGCTGGTTTAGTAGCAGTTGTCACTGAATATAAAGTTCATCTGTATATCAGGTTTTTCTATTGCGAGTCGCCTGTATTGATGAACAACTTCTGGCTAGGTTTCAAATTGTTTCAGAAAAACTAAACAAAAGCTTTTTTGCTTTTGATTTAACCTTGTCTTGTGGTTGCCATGACCTAGATAACTGGTCATTTGCAGAGGCAAATATGTATGAAGGTGTGAGTGCATTTCTACGTGTAAGGTTTCTACATAAAAATACTCAATAGTGGTCATCAGGAACCAAAGATCAGCCCAACCAGGGCCTGAAATAGGCTTAGAGGATATCAGAGCCCCAGACATCCAAATGCCTCCAGAGCACAGGAGACCCCAGAGGACCAACAATGGGATTGAGTTTATTTAGTTCAGCCTTTATACAAAAAAAAAAAAAAAACTAGAAGAGCACTCGGAGAGCACACCTATAGCTTAAACTCACACATCATATGGATCATTACCAAATTTTAATGAATTGTTCTTGGCATGAGGCACACCTCTGGTTAAAAAAAAAAACCCCTAACCCATAAAATCTGTTCAGAACTTTTCAATTGATACTAAAAAAACAACCATGTTCCCTTTACAGTTCTTGTATTTTTGTTTTCAGTAAAATACCACCAGACTTTTTGAGTCTTATGCTGAGGCTGTCAATAGTCACTGCTGCCACCCTCTGGTTAAGTGGGGACCTGCTTGTTCTGTCAAATAGCCCAATTTGTCAATGTGTGAGAATCTTTAAAAAATATTTCTGTATCCAGATTATGATCTGGATTATCATCAAAATGTAATGGATTGTTCCTTCACATGAGGGACACCTCTGATGAAATGTTTCATTAAAATCTGTTCATAACCTTTCAAGTTATCCTGTACACATAACCTACCTCTTCACTATTACGTTATTCTTTTCTAAAGTCCACATTTGAGTGACCATTTTTTGTCTATAAGCTTTTTGTTGCTGTAAACACCATAATTTCCCCATTGTGGGACAATAAAGGGATTTTCTATTTTATTATTTTCTACCTGGTAGAGTAATAAAACAATCCCAGATCAGTTTATAACTCATAAAGATTAAACTAATACTGAGTCATATGGAATGTACCTTCAGTGCAAAAAAATTGATTTAACTCTGGTTATATAAATACCATTAATTTCCAAACAGTCATTTTTGGTACAAAAATCCAATTGGAAAAGAAGAGGTCGAATTTCAGTTTAATCAAATTATCCTATGATCAATTTTCCCTCTTCTTTTTAATGTCTATGGACAAATACTCAAGCCCTCTGAGTACACTGAGGACCACTGTGAACAACATCACTGAGGGCTGACACCAATATTCAACTTTTATAAACCCTGAATCATTATAAATTACATTGTTTATTAAAGAATAAGAGATTACAGCAGCAGTTTCCATTAGTTTACTTTTAATTAAAGTACTTTGGCCCAAACAGAAAAAAATAATAACTTCTTGAGATGTGTAGTATGTTGTATGTAAGAGTCCGGCTTTGGTCGGGATGATGGTCCTGCTCTGGAAGAAATTAGACGTTACACCTTTCAGATATAACGTTTTGTTCACATTAAAACATTCACAATATGCACAATGAAATGTGTGCTGAAGCTTGTGATACAGTATAAATTCCTGTAACTCTTTTATTTGCATATTTTAATCTTTTCTACTATAAACTTTATGACACTATACGCATTGCATGATTAGTATGCATAAAGAAAAAACGTACCCACTAGAGAATGAACAAATCTTACTTCAGTCTCTCTATTTTTCACATTTGTACTTTTCGCTTCTCCAATGGCTGTCCATATATGCCTCTTTCAAAACTTTCTAAATGAATTTAGGTATTATTAACTAAACTAAATCAGCTGTATGATTGAACTGTTGCACAAATATCCACAAGCTGTGAGATCTCCTTTAGCTCCTCACATCTAAGTGCTGCAGTCACCGTATGTGAGACTATGCTCATTGACCCATGTTTATGCTTTTGCTTCATCGTGTACTTAAAGCTACAACAAACAAAAAGGACACTGATATTTATTAAACATCTTCATCCAAACGCAACTCTTAAATGTATTCATTGTTATTATAAAACTAATTTGAAGGTGATATTTTTAACTGGATCTGAGGAGTTGATCGTGCACAAATGGAGGCACATCCAGTGGCCAGCAGGCTGAGGTGATTGCTGATAGCGCTCAGTAAAACGAGATGCCAAAGAGCAAAAAATAAATTAATAAATTGTAATAATTATAATGTAATAAAAAAAAAAAACTAAATTATAATATTTATAAAAAAAATTTCAGTTATTATTGCAAGCTAAAATAAGTGTTCTCCATCTCTATATTATGTAATGGAATTAATGGGGGGAAAAAAACTGTTTATTCTTTTATGCTCATTGTTGGTTTTAAGTTGAAGAAATTAATGATACACGGATTCAAAATGACATACACATTTTTACTGGTTCAAATTTTATTTTATGTGCTGCTTAGGATTTTTTGTGTGCTGACAACGCATGAGCAGTACCAGATACACGCAGGTTAGAAGGTGCATTTCATTGAGAACCACTGAAATAATAAATCATTTTGGATTTCAGGGTAAATCAGGGGAGCCTGGCCCAACAGGAGACCGAGGTCACCCGGGAGCACCAGGTGTGCCTGGAGAGCACGGTTTACCTGGAGCTGCTGGGAAAGAGGGTGGAAAGGTGAGTTGCAGTTTCAATAGAAATATTATTGTCTAACAAACTAAATATTTTTGTTTCAATTATTTATTTTACACTGCTGGTAATATATCTATACCCCTACTTCTCTTTGTATTAGGGGGATCCCGGTTTACCTGGGACATCCGGAAAAAGTGGTCCAACAGGACTGAAAGGGTTCAGAGGGAGCAGAGGAGTCCCTGGAGTTATGGTATGGCATACATAATAACCACTAACAGACAGTATATCCTTGTTCATATTTTAGTGAACATCTTTCAGTAAATCGCCATTTTTTGTTAGATAAAATGCTTGGTTTACATTTTCAGGGACCGCCTGGTCTGAAAGGAGCAACAGGACCTGGTGGATCCGCCGGATCTGTGGTGAGTTTGGGCACTGCAGTTCTTAGTTACAGTTGCATTAACTTTAACTTTGCCATTAGGATTTCTATTCCTGTTCACCAATACATACCATTTTCCTTTAGTTTGTGTGTACACATAGACTTTTTTTAAGGGCTATTATGTTGGCTGCAGGGGCCATCAGGAGAAAGGGGCCCTCCAGGACCAGCTGGTGCAATTGGACAGCCCGGCCGTGCCGGAGCCATTGGAGGACCAGGACCAATGGGAGAGAAGGGGGAGCCTGTAATTATTAGCAAGATTTCTCTAATGCTGCAGTTGTTTTTTTTAAGTTACCATTTTTTCTGGTGACGTTGAATTTCATTTTAGATACCAACTTGAAATAATTTTCAAATGTAAAAAAACTAATGCTTGCACATATTCATTCATGGAAAACACATTGCTTCTTGCCTCTGTCTGCATTGCTTGTATACTTATTGATCATTTTAAAAATTTGCACATTATTTGTCTCAGGGAGAGAAGGGCCCAATTGGACCAGCAGGTCAGGATGGGGATCAGGGTCCAGTAGGAATGCCAGGAGCTACAGGGCCGGCAGGACCTTCAGGCGATGATGGGGATAAGGTAAAGCATGAATAATGGGTTACAGGAAAAAGACCAGTTAAGCTTTTTCATTTCAATATCCAATTAGGTGTTTTTTTTTTCTAAATATCTCATGTCTTCCTCTAATTAGTCTCAGAGTTACTATTAGAGGTGCTCAAAATTGATTTGTATTTACTAATCTGACAGTAAAGGAGAAATAAAAAGAACCTCTGTAAAACAAGCTTCCATTTCTACTTTAAAATGAGGTGAAAGGAATTACACAACTGACATTAAAGCTGTTTATTTTTGTTTAGCTTTGCATGTTAGCAATTAGCATGGCATTTATGGTCAGCATTGTCTCCTGTAAACGGCAGTAGTCAGTCAGTTTCAGCTGTACACCACTTTTAGCTTCAACCATCCAATAAATAAAAATAGAACAAAAAAACTTAAATTAATTCAGGCTTTCTGCTGAAGAGACTGCTCAAAATTGGTATTACCAGATTGAACAGTCAACATGGTGTGGAATATAGCTTTTTTTTCATTTAATTCTTACCACTCAAACATTGTCTGATCGTATTCAGATACTTTGATATTAATTAGGTTAATTTGTAAATTTAAGTCTTCCTCCGACAGTAACCATTTCCATCCTGCAAATTGATCTTGTTGCTGAAAATGCTACTCCTTGCTAAGATTGCACTTTTGAGTTTGTAACCTTCTTAATTTGGTCTGACTCTGAACATCTACTTGGTTTGTTTCTACTGTTACCATGGCGGCACTCCAAGTCAGTGGCCAAGAGCAGCTCCTCTCGACAAATTTCACAAAATGTCCCGCTTAAAACTATACAAACTAGACATCAAACCCGCATCAATGATTGCCAACGTCTGCTGGAGCTACGGTCAGAAAATGTTTTAAATACTGACATTTTTGACCATTTAAAAAGCTGCGGAGTGCAACGGACAGATGTCAGCAACACAACAGCGGAAAATAACGGACAGAGGAGGAGATGCGTGAGATGGAGAAAGCGAGGCTGCAGAGAGGGGCTAACTGCCAAGCTAAAGAGAGATTCCCACAAGGGGATGATGCTGTACCGCACCAACAAAAACAAAACGGGGCTCTGCGTGAATGTAAACTCCTCTGAAACTATTCTCAGGCAATCTTCGGTATCTAAGGGGAAGCACAGCCCTCTGCAGGTGAAAATGAGGAGAGCACTCTGGATGTTTCCCTGCAAAATGCTGAAACATCCCCAGCTGGCTCCTCCCGGCCCCCTCCAGCTTCCACACCTTCTCCAGCATCATCTGTCGCTGCTAAACCTGCCTATGGCTCCACAGCTGCTTCAACCACGTCAGCCTCTTCAACCCAGGGGGCTACCACCCTCACAGCATCATCTTCTTCCACCCCTGAGAAGCAGGTGCTTCAGGAGCTGGAGGCAGTAGTAGCAGCTCAACAACAACTGCTGCTTACCTTATCAAGGCTGCACTTTAGGAAATGAAATGATCTAGAGAGCTGTTCTAAACGAAATTTCTTTTTGTTTATACTTGTGTATACAAAATGACAAAATAAATATGTCTAAGTCTACTGTCTAGTTTGGTCACCATTCAACAATACGATGTTTGTTTGTGTCAACAGGGCGAGCAGGGAGGACCTGGACAGAAAGGCAGCAAAGGAGACAAAGGGGAATCAGTGAGTATCTAGATAAAGACATACTTCAGTGTAAACTGTTATTGTCAGCTGATCAAAATATGTCTGCTTCTTTAACAGGGCCCCCAAGGTTCTACTGGCATTCAGGGGCCTGTTGGTCAGCCAGGACTTCCAGTGAGTTATCACCTCTCCTCTTTTCTTTACAATAGTTTAGCAGCCCAGTACATTAAAGACTCACTATCATCATATCAACCTTTCAGAGCACTCCGGTCTTCTGGTGCTAGTCTACTTTGTACGCCCAGGACCAATCACGGAGAAGCAGCTTTCAGTTATTTATTCACCTCTAATCTGGAACAAACTCCCAAAAAACTGCAAAAGAGCCAAGAAACTAAATTCCTTTAAATCAAGGCTAAACACCCACTGGTTTAGATGTTTTTGAGTGGTCTGCAAAAAAAAAAAAATCCAGTTAAAAAGTTGCTCTAAAAGGAATATCTTATTATACATTGGCAATCTCCTTATTATTATCATGTGTATCTGGTTGACATTTTTTTTCTTGTGATTTTGTATGATGATAGTGATGTTTTATTGATTTGCTGTGTACTTGATTGATGGTTTTAAATGATTTTATTGCACATTTGTTCAGATTTTTTTAATGGTAGGTATAAAGTAGGACTGAAACAATTTATTGGAAGTATAGTGATTAATCCATTATTGAAATAATAGGCAAATAATTCAGTAATCAATTAATCGTTAACTGGAGTGTAGAGACTCTAGAAAATGCCTTAAGTTGAGAGAGCAACTATATCAAAACTGTAAAAAAAAAAAAAAAAATATTTTGCATTTAAGATTTAAAAAATAGTGTTTGTCTATCAACATGCCCTATCCAGAACTGCTCAAGTGGAAACACTTTTGTTTCACCTGGTTTATTTCGTAAAAAATCTTCTTTAAGCAGCCTTTCGCTATCCGATTTTTAAACAGTTTGTGGAAATATTATCGACAGATTAATTGATTAGCCAAATAATCGTTAGTTGCAGTCCTAGACTAAAGCTCTTTGGATTGCCTTGCCGCTGGAATGTAATATACAAATACATTTTACGTACTCTCCTATCCTGTAAGTCATGGTTAATAGAGCGAATGCATTTTTTTGTAACATATTTCACAGCATGAAGCAATTTGTTAAGTGATGTTACTACATGATAAAATGGTATTATTCCTCACATATAATTAGTGGAAAGTAAAGCACTATTGCAAATGCAGTCCTCAGTATAAATTAGAAGTTGTTCACTTCCCTATTTATTAACCCATTGTCACTAATGCCACTCTAAATGTCACCTGTAACTGTCGTCTTCGGCTTATCAAGCACTGGATCACTGAAGCAGCGGTGTCAGTAGAGACTCCCAGAGTCCCTGGAAGTTATGCTGCGTATTGCTCAGCATAAATGTGTTCATAACAAGTTTTGTGTGTTTGACAGGGTGTGGATGGACTGCCGGGTCCCCGAGGCCAGCAGGGCATGTACGGTCCCAAAGGAGATGAGGGATCACGTGGGTTTAAGGGTACCAGAGGTCCGAGGGGATTACAGGTTAGATCTGTAATTTTCAGGCATCCTCAAGGGCTCCATTTGTTTTTTTTGTTTTTTTTATTAATCATTTTTTGTATCATCCAAGGGCATGCCTGGCTTACCTGGAGAAAAGGGAGAGAGTGGACATGTTGGTCTGATGGTGAGCCTTTTCTTTTATTGTATCTGTTTCTAATTTCAACTTGTTTTTATTTGTTTATGAATAACTGGAAAAAATTTGCTTCAGGGTCCACCTGGACTACAAGGCCCTAATGGTGCACAAGGACCTATTGGGGGTTTGGTAATTACTTGTGTTATTTTGAATCTTCAGTCCTTACGGAACTTAATTATAGGATTATAACCATAATCTATGTGGCACAGGGACAAACTGGTAGACCTGGGATGATCGGACAGCCTGGTGTTGTTGGGGAAAAGGTAAATATTGGAACATGTTTTCACATGAATATCATCCTGGTATTGTCATACTTTTCATACACTCTTTCCTCTTAGGGCGAGGACGGTGAATCAGGTGACCCTGGACCAGTTGGTATTCCAGGAAGGCTTGTGAGTTTGTTTATTGCTTTTGGTCAATACACCTTTGGCTTAAAAACGTTTTTGTTTTTTTTACATTTAGATTATTTCCCTTTAGTGAACACTCTTCTCTTTCTCCTCTCCCACACTTTACACCTGCTCACTCTTCATAAATATCATAAAGGGTGACAAAGGAGATCAAGGGGAAAAAGGAGATACAGGCCTTCCAGGAGCAGCTGGTCCTCCAGGGGCCAGGGGCATTCCAGGAGAGGATGGAGCAAAGGGCAATGCTGTAAGAGACACCCCCACCATGTGTTCTATGTTGGTATAAAAAAGAAACATATTGTAAGATACACAGCAACATTAGTTGTAAATATATAATTATTATATATAAATAAAGAAACAAACAAAGAATATTCAGCAAATCACTGGATTTAAATGTAACTCTTTATAATAATCCAGTGGACATAAATTAATTTATGAGCCCTATGTAAAATTTTTTTTAAATAAACTGAATAATTTATTTGATGCACTAAACACTGCTGTTAGAAATGTTTATCCCCTCTTACTGGATGACGGCATCCAGTAAGAGGATGAAGACATCCCGGGACTAATAAACCCTTAGGGTTAATTATTAACCCTTTATAGGGCACTCAGTGAAATACTTTGAAAATCAAAATTTCAAACAAATACTGTTATGGGAATCCAGGACAAGGCATTATTACCTTTGTAACATTCAAAAAACATGTAATGTAAAAACAAGACATGCCAACTTGCCCGAATATATTAAGAAAAATAAAAAAGTTGTTTCTATAAGAAATGCCAAAATATAGATCTTGTGCCCGCCCCTTGTGTTGGAGTCCCACTCCCACAGACTGCCACTCTGGGTCTTTGGGCAAAGAGCCTTAACCCTACACTGCTCCACGGGCGCCCGACGGCAGTATAGCCTACTGCTCCCCGAGGGGATGGGTTAAAGGCAGAGGTACATTTCTCTGTGAGATCAATAAAGTTTAATTGTTTTTATTTATTTCATTGAAGAAAGTCCCAATTTTACACCTGAGGGAACAAATCTGATCTATAAGCAAATAGAATTCATAGCCCAGAGGAATGAGGTTTAAACACCATAACTGGGTTGTATTAGGAGATCCTCTCAGCCACTCTCAGCAAGAGGTGATACATACTACAGACCAGTCCAGATCCCTGGTCCTCTGTTGATAAACATAAAGTACACTCACACCTAATCACAATGCATATTTGCCATTTAACACGCACATCACAAGACTGCCTACAATCAACCCTCCAGCAGAGGACAGCAATGACAACTTGGTTTTCCCGACACAATTCAAAACATCAAATAAAAATAAATGAAATGCTTTAACTCAATCAGTCCAACATATTCTGGGTGCATTGGGACTTTTCCTTGTATTTTTGATCAGCTTAAGGTCATTCATTTAGAGTTTCTACCCGCACTCAAATGGCATTGGACCTTATCGATATATTTCGGCTTTATTTTAGATAAATGAAAAACATTTAGAATCAGTAAAAATACGCAAGATAAACGAGAGGACACCAAAAAAAAAAAAGTCTTTAATAAAAAAATAAATAAAACAGACATAATCAAGCAGTGGGAACTGGGAAACCTCCACCACCTCTGAGTTTAAATCTCGTATTTTATAAAGGCCAGAAGCAACTGCTACGCTAACCTTAGAGATTGTCAAGAAGAGAACTAAGCTAAACCAAAAAAATGATGGAGGCAGGTCAATGTGACATTTAAAACATGAAAAAAAATATATACATTGTAAGTCAATAATGCAATGCTTTGGTGTTTTAACATTTATTCCTTCTGAGTTTAAGGCATAAACCTGTTAAGTGACACTGTATGTATGATGCTTCTATTACATACATTGGCGTACATAAGCTCACTTAGTCCAATTGCAGCGCTGGATCCAGGATAAGAAACAAATAGATTTGTTTTATTGATAGCTCCTAATGGACTGGATCTTTACACTCCTGGTTAAACCAATTTGTCATTATCCTTTGCAAATATAAATTTAAAGAGATTTTGCGATATAACCAATGTTTTTTTTTTCTTCCTTTTTTTGGGAAGTAGTATTAATGCTGGTGAGAACCAGGCAGAATTTTGAAAGGGAATTCAAAAATAATCTTAGGAAATGGGACCCTACAACCATTAAAACTTGGAGCTCATCACTGAAGATAATTATTCAAAACATGAGTAGAAACACCTGGTAAGCAAGTATAGGAAAGGTTTGTTTAAAAATAAATAAGTTCTATGAATATTTTTACATGCTAATTTAAAAACAATGTACATAAATACAGATATTTCTTTATTTTCAAAATTGATACTCTATTTGATTTTAAATTTCTTTTGAGGAATTTCTATTTTCTATTCAAAAAGTGTCATAGTTTGTAGAAATTTTGGGATTATCTCGACTTGGCAACTGCAATATTAACACTGTAGAATAAGCAGAGCAAGTTTTTATATTAACAACTGTCTTGTATAGTATTTCTAAAGTTCTTTCTTTCCTCAGGGTCCTATTGGTCTGACTGGTGACCTTGGACAACAGGGAGAAGCTGGACCAAATGTGAGTTTCTTGCTGTAAAAAAAAAATATCCTATTTTGTGGCCATCTTCCTGTAAGACTGGAAAATGCTTATTGTTCAAACGTTAATGGTGTTCATATCATTCTGCAAAATTTTGCAAAACCTAAATAATTTTTTTTTAATACTTCGAAAGAGGTGCAACAGACAGAAGACTAATCAATACATTTATTACATTCATATTACAAATTTATTACATTCATATTACAAACATGCTGTATTACGCATTTCTGAGAGGCATGTTTGGGAATATTTTACATTTTAGTAAAAAATCCTAATTTATTTTTCAGAATATTGTATTTTTTTTAACTAAATATTATAATTAAGGATGAAGTATTAATCTTTGATATAAAACAACTATTTTAATTCCTAGTTAAATGTGCTGACAACGATATAAAATATTACATATGATGACCATTTTTGGTAGAATGGATTTTTCCATTTCAAAAACAATAGCACAAAAAAAGACAAACTCAATGGCAACCCAACTGTTAAATGTGCGTATTTGTTGATGCACAATGTATTTCCTTGAAAACTCTTTGTTCCTTGTCATTTTATATCCTTCTGTTTTTCTATTCATTAGGGTGTTGATGGCCTCCCTGGATCTAAAGGAGACAATGGAGAACCTGGGAAATCTGTAAGTGTCTCCCTGTGAATATGAAATGTCACATCCTTAGAGGCTTTCCATTTGGCTTTCATAGAAGATGTCATCACACAATGGGACGTGATTCTTTTTCCAGGGTCCTCCAGGTCCAACAGGGGAACCTGGACCACCTGGTCCTCCTGGACGGAGGGTTTGTGACTCTTTTTGTAGCCTGATTGCTCTTCTGATATATTGTTTTGTTAGTTTCATAATTTAACTGTACCACTGAAAATGTGTAGGGACACTTGGGGAAACCTGGGAAGGAAGGCAAAGCAGGCTTGAAGGGATCAAAGGTAAACATTTGAAATCATCTCTTATAAGAACACCTTAACACGATCTCTGAGAGTCTCCCTTGTGTTTGTCATTTTAGGGCACCCGTGGACTGGAAGGTCCCATTGGGAAGACTGGACCCAGAGGTTCTCAGGGGCATCCAGGAAATCCTGGGCCACAGGGCCTGAGAGGAATCCCTGGCCCTGCAGTAAGTCTTTGTTTCTGTTTTGGAAAGGAAGGAAGAAAGGAAAAAAGGACTGTTTATTATAATTTTGTTTTGTTTTGCGTGTTTCAGGGTGAACAGGGCTTAAATGGGCCACCGGGTCAAGCAGGACCACCTGGTCCCATGGTAAGATCAATTCATCATGGGATTTAGATCAATATTAAAAAGCTTAATGATAATATGCACCTTGACAAAATACTTTCCTTTGGACAGGAGACAACAGTTGTGACCAAAATTTGTATTATTTCTATTGTAATTTTTTAAAAATGAGGGTTTTTAGTTAATTGTCTCAGAGTAAATTATCTGCATATTTGGAAATCATGCAAGCTTGTAATAAAAGTGTTTGAAAAGGTTGCATCACACTTGGAAATCAGAACACTGCGAGACAGGGTGCACCAGTCAAAATTCAGAGAACTGCATAAAAGTTCCTGCAGTGGAAAACCGGATAAAGTGTTTGGGATCATTTAAAGCAGAGTTCTCTAACTCCAGCTTTGAGGGCCAATTTCCTGTAACTTTAGTTGTTTTTATTTAAACCTATATTAAATAATGAGGTTGTTGGGTAGAATCTAGCAAGTTTTACTGAATGCTAATGTAGTAATTTAGCCTTTTATGTTGGATCAGAAACACATTTAATGGCTGAAGGACATCAGTCCCATTGGACTTGGGGTTAAGACCTATATTTTGAAGACTTACAAAAAAGATTGTTTATCGACTTAGTTTATACTAATAATTAGGGCTGCAACTAACGATTATTTTAAAAATCGATGAATCGGCCGATTATTTTTTCGATTAATCGATGAATCGGACACAAAATATTTTTTTTATATTAACCTCTTTATTCCAAAATAAACATTTTAGACAGAACAAACAAGCACACAAGTACAGGTTTCTCATTAACTGTACTGGTGCAATATGAAAAATAAATGTTTGTTTTAAAACTACGCAAACTTACATGAGAAATGTAGCTGTACATCCACAAAATATAGGCTACTTTGTTTCATAAAGCGCAAAAAGAGACAGGCATTTTTGTTTTTTAAAGCCCCTAAGGGGTTCAAACAATAGGCCCCCCCATTTCAACAAATGAGGTTTTTTTAGACTAGAAGAGTTCTGCCTTTTAAGACAGGAAAGTATAGCAGTTAAAGTTGCTACTTGAGAAAATACTGAACCATAGAGATAAAAATAGCCCTGTGATTCAAATTATAAATTGTATTTGGAATAAAAATGAGAGAACTAGGGGTGCTAAAAAACACATCCTCCAAAGACAGATATTTACATGGGAATATGGCAGATAATTAATTGACATATTACTGATCTTGCTGGATTTTATTCTGCTTTACTTCCATAAATTGCAGGATCTTCTTTACTTTATCTTTGCCAGAAGATTTAAACTTTAAAAGCCTTGCCCTCATAATTTGCAAATTTATTTATTTATAAAGAAAATATAAACGCTGCTTAAGCTAATTCAAATGAAATTAAAAGTAAAATAAGTAGCCAACCTTATCACTGTCTGTAACCTACTAACACGGTAAGGAAAGCATCAGATGAGCTACCTGAGAAACTAACGTAACGTTTCCCCACTTTAAAATGAAACAAACATGGTTACTCATCCTGCTGATCAGCTCTCTTCACTGCCATTGAAGGCTCCAACATGTTTTCTTTTCAGGTGCTGCGTCATAACAGTGGTGCTTCCGTGCCATGTTTATTTGTTTTTACAAAAGTTGCATGTTACGACTTTTTTCACTTTACAAAGCGCAGGCTATTTTAATTATTGTGATCAATTTGCGCCGTCAATCCCGGGGCATGCGCGCTTCATTTGCAGTCTGGACGCTGAGGGTAAACTCCTCACTAAAATCCTGCGGCTCGGACTGCAGCGCTGAGAAGGATTCTTGTGGGAAAGGGAGAAAGGCGTTGGGATGGGGGAGGCGCCCCACGGCAGCAGCTGCCGCTGGAGGACTAGAGTAGGTACGATACATGCTTTCACGTAAGAGTCTCCAAAAGCCGCCAGTGACACCGTAAAAAGTCGCCAGATTTGTCGCTAGTCACTTTTAAAAAAAATAGTCGCTGGAGGGGTCTGAAAAGTCGCTGAGTTGGCAACACTGCAACTGCGGCGCTGACTCGCTCCGCCATATTTTTTTTTCTTCCCCGGGATGACGGCGGCGGCGGATGACGCATTAATCGCGCGACACAACTAATCGATGATTAAATTCGTTGCCAACGCTTTTAAAAGTCGATTTTTATCGATTTTATCGATTCGTTGTTGTAGCCCTACTAATAATAATAAGTTCTAACATTTAAAATACATTTAAATAACTTTTGACAGTATTTGGATCTATTTTTTAAAGGGAGTATTTACATTTATCCACAAAATGACATAAATATGAACATTCTCCCACCTTTCTGCTCAGGTTAATTAAACAACACATTTAATCTGTTTTATCTACGTTTTTGACTCCTAAACCTTTAACTCTTTAGGGTCCACCAGGTCTACCGGGACTGAAGGGAGACCCCGGCAGGAAAGGAGAAAAGGTTAATTTATCACCATGCATACATTCTTTCAATGTGAGCTTTTCATTTTTGTTGTTTTAAAACCTAATTCATGATTTCAACAAAGGGACATGGTGGACTTATTGGACTGATAGGACCTCCAGGAGACATTGGAGAGAAGGGTGACAGAGGATTACCAGGAAACCAAGGCCTTCAAGGTCCAAAAGGAGATGAGGTGCAGAAAATACTCCTACTTGCACACAAACTTAGAGCCTCAAAATGGAGTCTAAATCAGAAAAATGATTTATGTTTTACTGAACTTTCAAAAAAACAGCCAGAATTGTAGAAACACAATACAATAACATACTGTACTGACAAATATAAGGGATAGAAATCCCAAGTCTGGCTTTCTAACTGATATAGAGTCATGTCTTTAGAGATAAGTCACTTGATACTCGAGTCCTAGTCCAGGTAAAAACTCGATGGCTTATAACTGCATAATCAAACACTACATTCCTCACTAGCTATGTTTCCATGCTCAAATTTTCCCAAACAGATTGACATGTTTTTGGATTTAAAAAATAATAATAATACCTCAAGAATAAATAATCAGGTCCTGACATGCGTTTACTTGCACCAGACTTTTTTCTGGTTAATAAAGCTCTGACATGACCACAGTTGTCATATTTTACTAAATCAACCACATAAAACAGTATTGTCCATGTGGAAAGACCCAATAAATCACCAAAGTGGGTTAGTTCAGATTGTTCTGATTATCAAAAATAGACAACAATGAATTTAATGAACTTAAACAATGCTCAACATGTATCATTGACATGTCCTTATTACCTATTAAATGTTCTCCTCAGTTAAATTAAAAAAGTGTTAAATATAAAATCCAAAAACTAGACACACAAAAAATATTTTCATACGCTTTTGAATTGTGTAAGCGAAGCAATCTTTGTTACATTTTAGTTACAATATTACATTTTAATCCATTGTTTTAATTAAATGGAATACATTTACATGTATTCCAATTAATTAAAAAGTACTTATTTAGATTGTAGTCACTTTCTGTATAAGCTGCTCATGCTGCACCTCATGTTGAAGTTTTTCTTGGCTGCATAAATAAGTCCATATATAGTGATTTTCCTGAGCTTCTCAATGGTAAATCAAGAATCTTACAGATTTGTGACAGCAATTCTATTTTTATGTTTTTTTTTTTTTAAGCTTTTATTAAAGCTTCTCTGATCTGTATTTATTGTTTTTGTGTATAAAAACAGGGTCCAGTTGGCCCTCCAGGCCCGCCTGGACCTCCTGGTCCCACAGGGTTATCTGTGAGTAAACTAGACAATTACAAAGCTTGTAAACATTTTCAGGTTTTCAGATTCTCATTCTGTTTTTATGCATGTCTTTAAACTCCCTGATTTTGTCTAATAGGGTGCTATTGGTCAGAAGGGCTCTAAAGGAAACCTGGTACAGTTGATGTTCATTGTTTTTTTTTTATGATTTAACACTTCTTATTTATTGTCAACAGTCTTAGCTACCCTATGTTATGTGTTATGTTGTTTATCATTTAGGGTCCGATTGGTCCTAGAGGAGATACCGGCCCTGCAGGGCCTCCAGGACCACCGGTGAGTTCTGCTAAAAAAAAAAATAAATCACCTCGCCTAGGTTTATTTTAACTTACACAAATATATGTATACCATTACCTCTATTCATTTTCTGTTTGTATTCATAAAGGCTCTGACTAAACCTCTTCTGTTTTTCCTCTCATTAGGGACGAGCTGCTGCCGGTTTTTCACCTCAACCAGAGAGAGGACGAAGAAGAAGAACTCAGACTGTGGTAGATGGTGCTACGCTTGAGGAAGAGGAGGACACCATAGATGGAGAAGAGGAGGAAGGCTGGGTGCAGGGTGACCAAGCCGTGCAGGATGGGTTGGAGAAGAATAAAGAAGGTCAAGGCATGGAAGAAGTGTTTGCTTCGCTTTCCTCCATGAAAGTTGAGGTTGAAGGACTGCGTAACCCACAGGGGACATTCCACAGCCCTGCTCGTACCTGTAAAGAGCTCTGGCTCCTCCATCCAGAGCTCCCCAGTGGTACATTATTATTACAAGGTCTTTACTCTTTGACCTTTTCTGTTTAAATATCAATAACCTTTATGTCTTTGTTATGAACTATGGCTCTGCAGGGGAGTACTGGATAGACCCCAACCAGGGCTGCCACAGAGACGCCTTCAAAGCTTTCTGTAACTTTACTGCTCAGGGTGAAACCTGTTTGTATCCTGACAAAAAGTTTCAGTCGGTTAGTTTTTACATCTTTTTTTTAGAGTCAATTAAATCATCCCCTGTTTTATAGCATTACAAGCTAATAATGTCTTTTTTTTCCAACAGGTGAAACTAGCAGGCTGGAAAGGGGAAAAACCCGGAACCTGGTACAGTAAATTCAGGAAAGGAAAACAGGTAAAACATGATACATAATTATAAATCAATGCATTTTTCTTATTTTTTTGTTTCGTTTCTTGCTAATTTAAAGAGAATATTTCATTTCTTTGTAAATTTTATGATTTTTGTACTAGAGAGTTTATGAGGATAAGAAAATAATCTAAACATCTGTACTCTCCATGACAAAGAAAAGTCAGTCCAGTTTTTTAGCAGTCATGATTCCCTGAAAAGCTTGACCCTTTTTCTAGTATTACTTCCAAGCTTTTGTACAAGTTCTTTTACCAAATGCATCATGATGGTGCATGTAATGGTGCTATTTTCCGTTACAGCAGGGAGGAAATGGAAATTGTCTGCTTAGATTGGTTGTTGGAGAATATTGGTCAAGTAAATAAGTAGGAAGTCAGGACTGATTGATATGCTCGCTGCAGCCCTAAGAATGCTTTTAAAAAAAGTGTTACAACGGGCACTATTTTTACTCTTATTTTAGTTAGGAAAACAAACACAGGATGCCAGTTTACATAATTAGAGGCAATGGCTTATTTTGAAAGTTTGAGTATTTGAAGTTTGATGAGAGAAACATGCGCTCTGATGGATATATCCTCCACTAAACAAATAAAATCCCACATGAAAGCTTTGTATGATTACGTTGCTAGGCAACTACTGGACTGTCCTCATCATTTGTATGGCAGCCCTCCAATCACGGTTTACATTCTTTGCTCTCTCTACTGCATCAGGACTGGGTATTTAAACATGCTTTTATGCTTGCAGAATTCCCAATAGACAATTGTTCCAACATTTTCATTCTTTGCGACCAAAATTCAAATATTGGACTTGTGTGACCAGGAATAGTACCTTTCTTAAGCCATTCATACCTCTTTGAATTCTCAAAAAAAAAACAGGGGTGGAGCAACAGTTCCAATTGGTCAGGGTTGGCAAATATAAACATCTAAAGACATAATTTGGCCCATAGATATCAATACAAGCTACAGACTGTTAAAAATTGGGAAATAAATGACTTTCACTCTTGGCTGGCAGGAAAAAGCTTGGAAAATTTTGGAAACAAATGTGTTTTCTATGTGTGGTGTTGCAAGCTTGCCGTTCTGTCACTTCAGCTTATACGTAGCACAAATTTAAGAGGATAACATACAGCAAGTGTTCTAGGCTACTTTATTTATGTGTGATATCATAAACAAAAGTAGTAGTTGAAAGTAAACACATATACTTACCAGAATAGAACACCAAAGGTCTACGAGGGTTGTTTATTTATGTGTGATTTAATAAACAAAGAGTTGTAGTCGGAGGTACACCCTGACATAGCAGCTAACCTGTTAGATTGTCATACACTTATTTCTGGCTGTATGACACCCTGATGTAGCAGTTAACATTAATTACTTACTTTTTGTTGTTTTTTGTTGTGTATGGCGAACTGACAGCTCCTTACGCTTATTAACTATATGTAGGCCACTCTGACGACGTATACATAACTGACAGAACATCATCTGTGCCCTGAATCATCCAGGTATGGGGAGAAAAGCTGCACAGTATAAAAAATGCAAACAATTTTTACATTTTTATGTCACCCAACAGCTGCATAATGATGTGGTATGTTGTGACAGGGAAGATGAACACAGGGAAGCTGTTTAAGTCTTAGGGAAGTCATATTTAAATGTCAAATCATTCTGGCTTAAACATGTATATAAATGTTTATCAGACTATATTGTCCGAAAAGTTGGAACATTTCTATTTTAAAAAAATCCTGTCTTGAAATCAGTGTTTTTGTTTTCGTTATCTTATGCAGGCCAGTTAGTTATACGTCAGCTTGGACACCTAAATTTGGCCAACCATATATCAGTGGTCATCTTTCAGTCAAATATTTTCAGTCATAGCATCTTGATTCATATGTCGCAGCTAATATACCCAACAGTTGAAATAAGAATCATTTACTTTCCCATTGAGTTACATCCCAGTTTTCATGGGGATGGACGTCTGTGTCTTTGGCAGGCGTAGAGCTAACAGAACTGACAGCGTTGCTAGGCAAGGGCTCAAACATGTACGGCTGTATGCCTTCTACACCAAATGAAGCTTCTGCCGCCCTGGCATCCTCTTCCACAACATCTTCGTCCCCGCTCTCCCCCCTCTAAATGAAAAACGTATGATGGAGGAGACTCATCTATGACCTCTGAAACAAAACTCTCCTCCTTTTGCATGTTTCCACTGTCCATAGCATTCCTTCACAGTGTTGTTTCTAAGTGCTACTTGGTCCCAATGTACTTTCCCATTGGGAACCTACTAGCACTAAGTTGTTAACTGGTTAGCAAGATGCTTCCGACAAACAGGCCACAACCAAACTTGCTTGCGAACCTTCTGCCACAACAATCCTACCCCTTTGATAAACGACCAATCACATTCACTTTATTTACTTGTGTAAAGTTGGTAGCCACTCGGGAGAATTCGGGAATGCAACGGTTGGAACAGCCGTTTCCCTACGACTTCAAAAGATAAAATGGAGGATGTTCTTTTTCCCGGTTAGATCATCAAAATTAGTGGTCATCCTAATTGTCAATCATTCTGGTGATATTTTAACGTAAGGCTGTCCTACGTGCTCGACCCCATTTTCACTTACCGTTGGTTAGTCTGACATTGTGGAAAAATTGCAAATCTTCTTCAGGAAAGTGAGTATGTATGAGTGATGCAAACAGCCACTTTTTAAACAGAGTGTGCAAAAGAGAAATGGACTTGTGCATGCTCTAACACGTGGTTAATAGGAGTTCCCTATCCGGCACGGGTACAGGGTTGTGCATGTGCATTTTTTCTTAAAATGGAAAGGGTAGGTCTTTTCAGAAATTTGCAAAAATCCTCTTCAAAGATTGAAGGAGGCTGCTAAAGACCCAAGTCTTTGGCCAGTGTTCACCCTGAAATTCAAAGTCTGGCTGTGGCAGGGTTAATGTTAAATGTGGCTACCAGATATGGAAAGTCATACTGTGAAAGATATTTCTACAAAGTATAGACCCAGGGGCCCGAGTACATCAGTAGGTTGCACATTTCCTGGTTTTATTTGTAAAACATTTTAAAAACAATGAATAATGTTACTTCTACTTCAGAACTATGCTCCACATTTTGTTTGCGAATCATGTGACAAAACTCATAGAAATTTGTGGTCATAACGTAAAAACCTGGGTCAACGTTTAAGAAATATGAACAATGCTGATAGTATTGTGATCAAACATTAATATGTTCAGAAATAATTTCTGTTTTCATTGTTTCTCTGTTGTCTTTGAGAATGATAAATTCTTCATTTTCTTGATCTCTCCCAGTTTTCATACTCTGGATCAGATGGCGTCTCGATCCACATTGTTCAGTTGACCTTCCTGAAGCTTCTCAGTGCAACAGCCAGGCAGACGTTCACCTACCACTGCCTGAACTCTGCTGCTTGGCTTCACACCAACACCTACAGCTATGAACATGCACTGCGCTTCAGAGGCAGCAACGGTGAAGAGCTGACTCATGAAAATACACATTACATCAGTGCAGTGTATGATGGCTGCCAGGTAAGTAATGTTGTGATATAGAAAGCAAATATGCATAAAGGTGTTTGGTTTTTAATTGTCAACTATTCTGCAGACACGCTCAGGACAGGAGAGGACCGTTTTGGAATTTGATTCTCCGATTTCTCAAACTCTCCCCATTATCGACGTAGCCGTGTCGGATTTTGGAAAGGGGAACCAGAAATTTGGTTTCCAAGTTGGCCCAGTTTGCTTCAATGGTTAATGATTGTGGAAATACCAAGAACAGGATTAATTATTTAAAAAAGAGCCATTGACATTTTTTACATGCAGGGAGAACACAACTTTAAAGGCCATTAAATCAGTACAATAAAGAGTGTTTTCTGGTTCATTCATGCATTCACTTCGTCTGTGCTTTACACAGCTACTGTTAAAGGATGCTGCAGTGATTCAGCCAACTGTGGACTCGCACTCATTGTTATAAATAGAAGGACACACCTTTTTTAACATCCTTACTGTCAATTTTCTTTTGTTTTTGAAGGAGCGTGTTCTGCTCTGTCTTCTCTGGCTCCGTTTTGATAAGGACTTTTTAAAAGAAAAAATGTTTTTGCAGCACCAATCTATCTCCTATTAATTGTAAGTGAATAAAGGTGCAAGACTAAAAAGACAGGTGCTAATGGTGATGTTTAATCCACTAAAGAAAACTGAAACTGTCCGCTTTTACAAATCAGTTTTGAGTTATTTCTTGTATACAATGACTCAAGACACGAGAAATTGTCTGGTTACTAAAATTGAGCAATTTCAGCTTAAATGGTGATCAGCCAGTTGGAAACAAAATATTTGTTCTTTTATCTTACCACTTAATGCACTGTACCAGAAAGAAGAAATAATAACACTTTTCTGTGTGGACACTGATACCAAGGGAAGAACGGCCATTGTTGGCTATTTTACCTATGAGTGAGATGTTTAGAGCTAAGCCAAAGGAAGAACAGAAATGTTAGGAGCTATTTAGAAATAAACTAGCGAGTCTGCTGTTGATTTAGTCTATTTCATTAGAGCGAAAGAGTAATAGACTTTCAGTAGATAACTAAAGAGGTTAACATTTTACAGCAAACCTCCATTTTATCATTTTGTTCTTACAACCTGGGCCTGATAGTACAAATACAGCAGAAAAGGTTTACATTTATAGCTGCTATTAATTACATGGATACCGATGTTCCCACATTAAATATATATACATA